GAGAGAACTGAAGAATTTCTTTTGAGAAAATATTATAAGTTGTTTAGTTATGATGACAGTTATCTTTAAAAGGTGCCTAATGTGATGCGATTTTGTCATGAATACCAACGGAGTAAAAAGCTCTTCAAGAATGAATCTTTTAAATTATATAACAAACGACATCCATCTAGTCATGTACTGGTAATAGTATTTCAGTGGATTGTTGGTCGGTAGTCAAATGAAGCAGTTACCTTTAATTACTAATTTACTGAATCATTTATCTGGTCAAGGTATATTTCCTAATGACGTTACCTTAATCCTATATCGTTTAAAATCATCACATCAAAAGATTTACAACTTCGGACATGTAGTTAAGGCTCGCTTTATCATATAATTCAGATGAAGTCTTTATGTCTTTCCTGTTACTGACGACATGTATTTCACGAATAATAAGTTTTGAGGATTTTGCTCTTCTCCGAGATAACCCACACTCCCAAGCCTAATAATGGTACATTTTAGACACATAATACAGCCCACCTACCAACTTACTCCATGTAGGAAATTTATAGGTACTTAGCCAGAAGTGTTTACAAGTCATTGTATATATGGTAGAACTACGCAGAAAGCAATGTTGAGGTATTATTACCAGCTTTCTCTTCCTATACTGTTTTGATAGTTGACTTGTTTCACTGCTGTAAAATGAACTACTTTGTGAGGATTTCAACAAATGTTATCACATGGAACTTTTGGTAACAAGAATAATTTCTTACAAATATCGGATAAAATGTTTTCTACACCAAAAAGGTATCATTTCAACAACCAGGGTTTATAAGGCGTCCCATCCTATGATTCGCTCGCTTAAGCATTGAAATAGTTTTGTGGGAAACTAGATCGTATTTCCCTATAGCTGGATAAAATCATGGTTGCGGACCAATGACCAGGATTTGATATTAAGGCACCCTGAGAAACATTGACAGTTTTGAGTACATATTATTACTAAAATGCCTGTACTTGCAGTTACATGATGACACTATACATGAATTAAACTTTTCATGTCATCCTGTAAACAAACCCATTATCGAGAAACGCTTCAACTAATTGGAAAACTATTTGTAGATTGGTACTCACTAACCAGTTCATTAAATATGAAGGAAAATAATACCACTGAGTTAGGAAAACAAAAATATAGCTACAGAACATTTGCTAAGACCTTGGTGAGTAGATTAGGGCTCTGACTCGAGATACGATCGTCAGACAGGTCCCAAGTTTTCTGACGATTTGGTAATAAATTCACAACTTACAATTGTTAAGAATGGTACGATTTACGAAAAACTGCAAAGTTTGTCTTACATGTTCAAGAACCAATGGGATTAAAGAATATAAATACACAACTATGAAGTCTATTGACAGCCAGTTAGACTCGTGAAGGGAAACAAACTTTCGATAATATGTTCATCGAGAAGAGAAATTAGTAAGTAAAGTGAAACAACTTAAAACTGGATGAAACAATATTGAAGAGTCCAATATTTAACTATTTTGTATATGCTTGATTTTTCTGACCTGATTATTTTCGGTTTTAAAAGCGTTCCTTTTGATTGCCTAATCCACCCCATTTATCAAATTACAAGAGAATAAAAATTTTCGTTCGAATAAATTTATGTAAAAGTACAGTGTGAGGAGGAGAAGAGAAATCGCAAGGATTAATGTACAAAATGGAAATAAAGTAGACTCAAAATACGGTGATAAAACTCAACTTATGCCAAGGGGTTATCTCGGTCAGTTAAAGTTAGTTCATTCTCTTCGATAGATGTAAAGTTCAAAAAGTGTGAAGGTCTATGAATACGATGATAAAATTTCTTCGGTTTGAGAGGTTGTAATTCGTACTTCATATTAGGATCATGACGCACACCTATTAAATGAAAAGAAATTGAAATATTATCGGTAATAAGACTAATTTAAAAAATTTGAGTAAACTCGTTTGCTAGGTACTTAGGTATGAACCACACTCTAAGTATGAGGGCTAATGATACTTCTCGGTTGCTCAAACCGAAAGTAGAGGGAGTTTTCACCTGAGACTTAGCTGTCGAAAGTCGAACGCATTAACTACTAAGCCATCGCTTCACATGAGATTAACATACCAATCGAAATCAGTCATAAAATATCAGTTGATCGCACATACTGAATGAAGCAGATAAAAATGAAATTTAGTATCATTCCAAAACTTTGCTGATAACCTACCCATAAAGTTGTAGTTCCATGATGTCTGAGGCGGCACCATAAAGAAACCCAAGAATCTATCAGATAGTAACATTTGTACTCTTTCATAATGGCTTGGCATATAACCCTTTGGATTGTTACCTTTGTCAGTATTTTGCCTACCCCATTCATAGCCACCAGGAGTCAGTTTATGTGCACAAAGTGAGACCGAACCAGGAGTGAAGCTGCATGTTATGACGATGGTCTTTTCTCCATCTTGATCAGAGAAGATCTTTGCATGGGTAGTAATATCCTACATAGGAAAAACAGTTATTATTATTAATTTTATTTAATATTATACTTTGGTATAATATAGAATTCTCAGCACAAGGTATTTCAACAAGTCCCTTTTACCAAAAAAAGATTTGAATCTGTACAACTTTTCAATTAGAAACATGTTTACGAATACAGGTTATTGACTAAGTCAACTGTAACAACCTGTTCGCCACATAGCATATTTGCTAGATAAGTTATTGTTTGTAAGCATGGATTATAATGTATTGACGTCTCGTTCTACCAGATTTACAAGGAGAAAGATGTGAATGAAATGAATGGTTAGTATCTGATAAGATAATACCTGCCTGGAGTTGGTCAAAGCTTTAGATGTATATCCATAACCATATTGACAATGACCTCAAAAGATTCAACACACACCCTGCTAACTGTTTTCAGCGCTCTCCGCAACACACCGGTCTTTTCTCAAAAGCCCTGGAAAGAATAATAGGTAATTTGCAAGAATTGACAAATTGTGGGAGTAATGCCAGAAGCATGCAGCCTCTTTATGTAGTAAGTCAGGCGGAAAACTTCCTTCGATAAAGGTAAAACATGAAAACATCAAGAGATAGGAAGATTGTCAGTTGGTTATCCAGCTGTCAGTGTTGACGTTGACTAATTTGTTAAGTAGCACTTGTCTTGGGATGAAATCAAAAGCAGTAGTTTGGGGATTTCATCAGGTCCTAAACATTAGGACGAATCAAGTAACAGGAAATATTTTCGGACAACAGTTTCAGTGAAAATAAGAACACAACTACTCTTCAAACCTGTGGATATAGGGAGAATGACATCAGATGACTGACGTACAAAGGACTTATTTAAGTCACAAACATTTAGCTAGTTCTCTCACCTGTAAGTTCTTTAAAGAGTTTCCACATACTCGAGTTTTTACAAGATAGGAGTTTCCGGGTAAATTGAATTATCATCTGTGCCCGAACACACGATGCCGAACCTCTGCATTACTGACATGGTGTTGCCACTGAATGTCTGCAATCCTTCGGAGACAGCGATGATCGAATACAGAAAGTCGTCTAACGTCCTCAACTCGGAGAGGCCAGGTTTCACAAGCATAGAGCGAAACTGCTCTCACCGACGCGTTGTAGATCCGACCTTTTACAGCCAGACTAACATCACGAAGGCGCCAAAGATAGCCCAGATTGGCATAAGCCGCTCTGGCTTTCACTATACGTGCATTGATCTCATCACTCACACCCCCACCAGCACTTATGCAGCTACCCAGATACACGAACTTCTCGACTACGTCTATCTGCTCACCATCCAGAGTGAGTACAGGATTAGAATTCTGCGAGTCTTGTAGGAGTACTTTGCACTTCGAAGGTGCAAAGCACATACCATACCTACGGATACTGATTGCCAACTGATTAAGTGCGGATTGCATGCCTTGGGGATTATTGCACAGTAAGACAATATCGTCTGCATACTCAAGGTCGAGAAGTCTTTCTCCAGGCAACAGATCCACACCACCATTACTTACATTCATCAGAGCTGTTTCCAGAATGTCATCGATGGCAAAGTTGAAGAGGAATGGTGAGATTAAGCAACCCTACCTAACCCCACTGCTCGTATGGAGAAGATGGAGAAAGATGGTTGTACGCCCTCACTCTGCCTGAGGTGTTTTTATATATGGCTTTTAGGATGTTAATAAACTTCTCAGACACACCCTTCTTCAATAGACAATCCCAGAGAACAGTCCTGTCCAACGAATCGAAGGCAGCCCTGATGTCAAGAAACACTACGATTGTTGGCCTTTGATAAGTATGGCGATGTTCTAACATTTGGCGGAGAGTGAAGATATGATCAATACATCCTCGACCAGAGCGAAAACCAGCCTGCTCCTCGGGAGTCAATCTTTCTCGGATTTTGAACAACCTACGAAGTATGACGGAAGCCAATAGCTTGGACGCAATCGGAAGTAGACTTATCCCCCGATAGTTGTTGCAGGAACGACGTGAACCCTTTTTAAAGATAGGGACAACTATCGACTCATTCCATGACGTTGGTACAGTCTCTAGTTCCCAAACCTTTGTGAACAACGCCGTCAATTCCTTAGTCAAAAAGTCCCCACCATCTTTAAAAAGAGCCGGACGTAAGTCATCTGGGCCAGGTGATTTGTAACGCTTCAAGAGTTGGAGTTCCTTGCGGACTTCCGCCTCATTTGGTGGATCAGTCGTCACCGACCATGGAGGTCAGGACAGTTCGATCGATGTTGCCGGAGCAGCAGGCCAGTTGAACTGCCCTTCGAAAAATTCTGCCCATCGTCCAAGACGTCGATAGATGTTAGTGATTGGCATCCCATCATCCTCGCAGATTGTTTCACTCACACCAGACTTCTTGCTGCCAGTGGCTCGGATGAGCTGGAAGATCTTCCGGTAGTTACCAGATGCAGCTGCTGCTTCCAGCTCATTAGCACGCTCCGACCACCAGGCTTCTCGGTCCTTACGCAAGCTTTGCCCAATTTCCTTACGTAACATCCTTCGTTTATGGTCAAACTCACGGTCACTCGGAGTAGACCGACAATGAGTTGTAAGGAACCTGAAGAAACCCAGTGCTTATAAGCGGGACGTTTCGCGAACCCACAACTGACTGTTCCCGCCATTTTCATGGCGTCATGCAATTGCAACCAATGCTCATCTATACTTTTCGGTGGAGTGGCAGCTAGCCCAGAGGCTAGCTCGGTTCGATACTTACTTGCAACAGAAGTTGCAACCAGCTTGCTAATATCAATCCTTTGATGGCGGTTACTTCGTTGTCTACTGAAAAGTAAGGCAAGATTGGCGCAGACCAAGGCATGGTCAGAGTCCAGATAGGTACTCCAAAAGGAGTGGTAGTCTTGTACACAACCACGCCAGCGGTAGTTGATCGCGATGTGATCAATCTGAGTTCAGGGAGGACGCCAGGTGGCACATCGGCGATGACTGTGCCGAGAGTTAGTGCTAGCCAGAAACAGGTTGTGGTCTGTGCAAAGTTGCAGTAGACGGTCCCCGTTATCTGACCTGTGACCAACGAGTCCCCATCGGCCACCTAAACGACTCTCTTCTGTGCCTAGACGCCCAACCTGGGCATTCAAGTCTCCGGTTAGTACTACAATATCTGTCAAACGCACTTTCTGGAGAAGAACAGATAACTGGTGGTAAAACTCATCCTTGATTGCATCCGGGCTGCAATCTGTCGGGGCATAGGCGGAGATGACGAAAAGACATCGTTTCTCACGCCGATTTCTTCGCACTTTGATGGAACTTTCTAATCTAACAGCACATAATCGACTGTTAATGGGGATCCAATCGATTAGTGCTGCCTCGGCTCTAGCGCTTAGTGCGACACCAACGCCAGCAAAACCAGACAAGGATGCCACAGGGTCCCCGGATAAGCTCATGTAAGACAAGCTTTTTGAAGTGACAGATGTAGAGCGAATTTGTAGTACTTCACCAGAGTTTTGAATACGGGTCTCGGATAGACGGCAGAAATCGATATGAAGGCTTTCCAAAGACATAGCCAGCCCTATCTATTGGCCAACTTGCATAAGTGTGCGAACGTTGAAGGCAGCCAGTTTGAATGGCGCACGTGGTTTCAGAAAAACTGCTTTATTATTCGTATTTGGTTGTAGCATACAATTTTCAACCGGACAGTGGCTCGAGAACGTTTAGATACAGTCGAATTTCCACCAAAGACGAGCCGCTGTATAAGTATAGAAGAGGGTGAATAATGTGAATAATAATAATATTATTAATGACAATAATAGTAATGATAATAATTTGAATCAATTGATTGTTTTTCGAAGCGAGAAAAGTAGTTTCCATAGACATAGAGAGTTCATCATTTGGTGTCACCATCTTGAAACACCGACTTCGGTGGCTTGGACATGTTCTCCGAATGTCGTCCCAGAGAATTCCACGTCGTGCATTATTTGCCGACTCTGGGACTGGTTGGAAGAAGCGGAGGTGGTCAGTGCATGACACAGTATCGTGGCATGAAAGAAAGCTGCAAAGGACTGGCTTGTGTTGGTCCTTCACGACTCCCTGGTTGGGGTCTGAGAGATGGTGCTACACAGTAGCTAGAGACGTTATCAGATATGGCTCAGAATAGAAGCCAGTGGCGATCCTGCCGTAACCTTCTTTTACTTTCTTCATAAAAAGTTGTGTCTCCCTTACCTGAAAGATTTTTCCGATTGCAACTTTCCGTTCCCTCATTACTACCACACTACCTTACACCAATCTCTTCGTTATTGTTCTTTTTTTCGCGCTCCTTAGCTTTTTTTTCTATTTCTCTTCGAATCCTCATTGTTTTGTGTGGCGCATATATATTGGCGCTCTCTTGTACCAATATTCATTTGTTCAAATAAATAAATAATTCCGGGTAAATATCGAGTTCAAGCGTATAATTTCTTGGCTTATTAGATCATTTAGCTTACGAACTTCAATGAAGATTTTCTCATTGTACATTCTTTCTCTTACCCTCCGTAATCGTTTTAGTTGTGGAGATGTAAGTCGCTCAAAACTTACAGAAATAGTTTCAGTGGGATAACAGATATCAAAACAGAGGTTAAGATAACAATTGATAATATCAACGGTGTTTCTCAATAAGTCATCAGTAAATAATCCCCAATTAGTCGTGTGAAACATATTTTCTAGATTTTTGATGTTTTCTTCTAAGTAATTGCTGTATTTGACTTTCTTTATCTGATGTAAGAATGTACTCTTTGCATGCTTACTATATACCTCAGGTAGAACACAAATTATACAATGATCAGAAATAGACGACGGAGCATGTTTACGAGTCACATATATTTTCACATCATTGATGAAAACTAAGTTCAAATGGGCATCCAAGCGAATGGGAAAATCTACTGCGTTTTGGTGATCTAGTGATGCAAGGCTACAGTTACGTGAATTAAAATCACCACATACAATTGAAAGTGAACCATTGGCGGCAGTAACAGCAAATTCAGTGAATTCATTAGAGGAAACAGATAGTGCAGTCTAGAGTCACGTAGATGTTAGTAACATAAACATATTTGTATTTATTCAAGTGTTTTGAACGGCTTTTTAAAGTTGAATAGTCGATAAAGTCATTTGAAAACTTAGAACATGTAAAAGTAGATCGACACCAGTTTACGTTTACAAACGTAGCTACACTGTCGCCACACCTTTTTTATTTCTTGATCGATCCTGACGACAGATAATGAAAACACGTAGTGATATTAAGCAATCGTCCTGAAAATCAGTTAATCAAGATTCTTGAATAATGATAACACCACAATAACGATACATGTTTTGACTTTGTAGAAATTTAAGATGGTCCACCTTGTTAATTGGCGAAAAACAGTTAGAATTTAGTAGCTCAGGAATCGAGATATGATTAATGTTGGTTCTCTTCAATGCATATTGCAAACCACCATGTCACTGATTGTACTTTTTTGTAACTTGTACAGTGAAAGGTCGTAAACTTTTCATAAACGCGTCAGAATAGGTTATGCGATTAATAGACATGTGTTAAAACAAAATAAAGAACAGAAAACTTGTTGAAATATTTAGATGGCAGAAACAGGTAGCCCATGTATTGAAACAGGCCTACATGTGGAAGCTGTAAGAATTCAGGATTATACAAGAGTTTAAATCAGGACGTAAAAACATAGCCAAACAAATTCTTGATCAAGTATCATACATAAAAATAGCGGGATTTAAACGTACTTTCAAAGAAGTCACCTACATACAACCTTGTCACCCATTAATTGCAATGGCGCATACACAAAACCATACTCTTGCTTACTAAGATTATGAGAATCAATATGGACAGAGTAATAAGAGTAAGGTCGTATGGATCAACACAATTTTGAACATTGTTAGATGGAGAATTATTACCCAAATGCCGAATAAAACTTACTTGAGGTGATAACTGCGGTAATTCATTTGGTTGAGTGTGAATCCAACCAAGTGGCTCCATTTCTTTTAAATACTCATCTTGTGGTAGACCATTGGGTAGATGAACAGTTTGATGAGTACCCCATTGAGGTGGCATTACAATGCATCGGATTTCTTTAATTTGGGAATTATCAGCAGGTGAAATACCATATAAGTAGCCTGCAATCTAAGTTAAATAAAAGAACCCAATTAGCTTGAATGAATTAAATGTATAATTCTGTTTCATATAACCTACAAAAATGAAAACTTACTTGAGTTCGTAAATCTGATATGGTTATAAATTTCTTCAAAATATTTTTAGGTAAAATATATGTGTAGCCATTCTCTTTAATATCATCCGAACTGACATATATATTGTTTGTCCGAAGGTACAAATTCGTTGCTGAGATAGCACGAACGCGCCATTCCGTCTTACTGCTGAAATGGAGAGTTTCATAGTTTGATGTTGTGGTTGAGATGATTTCATCACCATGTTTGTTGACAGTTCTTGTTGTGGTTGCCGTAAGCTGGGATTGTTCTTTGGCCTGCTTTTCAATTTCGGCTATTTGCTGACGTTGTTGTGACGGAGTAGAAATCTCCATACCCAAAATAATATCTCGTATCTCCGACTGAGTTAAAGAAGCCACATTAACACTAAAAAGTGAAATAAAGTTTCCTCGTTATGAAATTTCAATCTATGTAGGTCTAGATGTAATGCAACTATAATGTATCACCTATGATAACTATAGTGATTTTAATCTCGACTGTGGAACCGAATGATCCCACCATGTCTACAAATTTAATAGGAAATTTCTTATATATACTTTTGGGGAATCCTTAAGTAATTAGTATATTCTGAACACTTACATTAGGAAAATAGAAAAATGATATAAAAAGTCTAGTGAGTTTATCGATAGATGTAAAACGGAACATTATGCTAGTCCATGGTACAATTTAGCACTACTTAATCGAAAACTGTGGTCACTATGTCGCCATTTTATGGGCAAATGATTTATAACACCGCCAAATAGGCCCACTGAATGAAGCAATGTGTTTTAGATTACCATGTAACTTTTTTCCGACGATTATAAACTGTGGACCAGTGTAACAGATTCAGTCGAACAGCAAACCATATACAGTTATTAGTTACGCATTGTTACTTAGTATGAATATTACAACTTGTAATCGTTGAATCAATACACATGATCGCAAAATCAATATAGAAAATCTTTAAACGGTTTTTGGACTCTAAATACCGTATCATCATAGAAAAACTTGTACAATAACTTCTTACGTCAGTGATTTGACTTGAAATAGTTAATAATAGAAACTTACTTGTTTTTCTTTCCATAGTCAGCTAAAATAAGGTCTTTCAGCTGATATTCTACTTTGATCCAATCATCTGAACTAAGGGATGGCCAAATATGATGGGGTTCAGTGATTGTTGTTTTGTCCGGTTTAAGCACAATTTTAGCTTTATCATTATTGACGTGCAAAGCTCGTAAAATTAAAATCAGACGAGAAAATGCTGTGTAAGAGCTAATAGATTTGAGCCAATCATCATACAAATTGAATAAGACCATTTGTGGCTCTGATGCCTTTAATATGAGATCTCCAAACTTCTCGACTTTTAGGCACGCTTGGAAAGGCAGTTGAAGCTCGGAACCCTGGAATATGAAAACAAAATCTTTTATAGACAATAGGAGTTCATTAAACATCTACTATCATTTAAAATGACCATAGTCATTCTGCACGAAGAAATCTAACTACCAAATTCAACACATCTTTACTTTACTGAGTAACAATAAACTATGTAATAAATATGCAGTATACTGAAAACGAGACTATTGAAAGCACATTCTGGTAAATAATTACCCGAAATTGTTAGGTGATAGTGGAGTCCCAGAAATAATTTGATAATATATAGAGATGAAAGTACGTACAAAAGATGAACATCAACGTATCAAAAAAAGAAATACATTTCACTATGAATATAAACTTCAGACGAATGGAGAATGTTTCTAAATTAGATTGAACAAATTAAAAATAAAACAAACTGATCGGCAACAAGAGCAAAAAATAGCGATTATATCTCCAACGACTATCTTCAATAAAATTAGCATGTACATGTACAAAATAGCTGAGATTATTTGTTATAAAGTGATTCGATGATGTTTCGCATAAAATTATAAGAGAACGTTGAAAACATTGACCGATCCATAAACAACATGAATATATGATATTTCGAGTTAATACCTACTAGAATGTAAATAAATACCAATTTAGGTGACTGTGACGACATGGAAAATACTGCAATTAGATCTTATGAATTTAAAATATTGATAAGTTTTTGTAAACTCGAACTATACCTTTATGACAATGTTAGGGAAGTCAAGAAGATGTACTTCCAGAGGATCCAACATTCCTTTGCGAGTAACAATGATTTGTTTCGGTTGTTCTTCAACTGGCAAGGAACGGATGAGTGCAGCAACTTCTTCTGCTGTTTTCCATTTGGCCAACTGACCTAAACGCTTTTGTCCTGCCCAAACTGAAGTGTGGATTATCTTTAAGAAAAGCTGCCCTGTGCGTGGATTGAAAATGAATATAGCACCATTGATAGGTTTAGTCGTAAGATTGCCTTCGAAAGTCTGAAAAATACATTATTTAGATATTTAGAAAACGAAAGACAATAATAGCTTAAATTTCACGCACCCTATTATTGAGTTTATCAGTAATCTTAAAATCTAATAAAGCATGATAAAACTAGTATCTCATGTT